ATAGTGTATAGTATAGACTTTCAATTGATGTTGATGCACCAATGCACCTATCATTCCTTTCATCGAAAGGGGCCCAGCTAGTCTATATCTATATCTATATATATAAAAGTAAACTTGGGAGGCTCTGTTCTCAAACTCCCCCCTTATTACCTAACCCACACCTTTGAAACTTTGCAGGCGTCCTCAGCATCTTCCTCTACTTCTTTGTATGTTTATCACTCTCTTGTAGCCCGTTATTTCCGGGGTGCCTTGATAGTCGAAGCAGACTTTGTGCTGTTGAGGCTAGAGAGGTGAGCAGAGTAAGTCTGATTCATCCCTGTAAGGACTTCTCTGTTGACATCCACCCCTTGGCGCTCATATGACCTTATGCTGTTGCGAGTGCCGTAAAACCTTACGGAAACTAACTGATCTCGCCACGACGCCTAACGAAGGGAGAGAAAAGATTGGAATATTGTTGTTGATTCGATCTGTCCACTTTGTGTCGTTTCAGGGCTGTATCGACAAGCTGAAGGACAAGATAGACGAGTACATCATCGCCATCGCTGTCATCGCCGTTGTTGTTTTGATTGTCATGGTAAGTCCGCTTGTACAAATCGCGACCTCGGGGATTTCTCATCGTACTGTCCCCGTCGTTTTATGGAAGAAAAATCCTGAAATTATGTAAACTGAGCTCAAAAATGTGAAATTAAGTGATTCTGTTAATTTTAACAAAGAATGATAAAGGAAAATAATCAGGGGGGGAGGGAGGGGGAGGGGAGGGGGGAGGGTGTGTGTCTGAAAGTCTTTTGTGAGGCATCATGATGAATGATGGGGAAATGAGGCGCTGGTCAAAATAATGAAGTCAAAGATATTGGCCTTTTTTAGGCTGTTACGCAATTTTTTTCTAATTTTCTTTTTTTGTCTCCGCTCCTTTTAAATCCATTTAAAACCACATTTATTGCGTGTGGATTTTACGGAAAAAATTGATTAAAGGCACAGAAATTATAAATTTTCAGTTTCCAATGACTCTCAGGCTATGGAAATCACCAAACTTTGGCGGCCATTTCTCACTAATTAAAAATGTTATCTCTGAAACCAGGCGACCCTGACCTCCTTCAATCGCAAATATCTTGACTTCTATTCAAGATAGAAGGATTTTTTTTTTCACTGAAAGCAAAGCAAATAAATAAGCTATCAGATAATACCAATATCTCTACGTGCCCCAAAATTGATGAGAACCTGGTTCTACCTAGTCGTGAGACTTTTGATTGACTCTTGATTGACTTTTGATTGACTCTTGATTGACTTTTTATTGACTCTTGATTGACTTTTGATTGACTCTTGATTGACTTTTGATTGACTCTTGATTGACTTTTGATTGACTTTTTATTGACTCTTGATTGACTTTTGATTGACTTTTTATTGACTCTTGATTGACTTTGATTGGTCACTGGAAATGCATCTTTGAAAGAGGGTTGTTCTCACTGGAGTGTGGGGGACTGTGATGTTTAGTTGAGCCAATAAAATGTGATGTGCGACACGTGGGAGCGTTGTGGGACTCTAGGTAGACCTACAGGATTCAAGATTGGTCATGTGGGCGACGGTGAATCAACGGAGGGAATTCTCTCAGAATGTCTGACGTCATCCGTGCATTTACCTGTCCTCTCGGTCATATGCAAAAAAAAAATCTGAGATTATGCAAACTGAGCCCAAAAATGTGAAATTATGCGATTCTGTTAATTTTTAACAAAGAATGATAAAGGAAAATAATCTGAAATTATGCAAAAAATGATTAAATTTTGCTAAAATTATGCTGGGTGCATAAAACCACGGGGACAGATTTACCGAGTTGCTGTAGATGTGAGGCAGTCTGGAGTGGCTGCTTCAAAAGTCACGTGGCTGAGGGCCTGTTTCCTGTGACTGCCCAAGTTTTCTCTTATGTCTGATCGTGAGACTGGAAAAATAGTGTGTGTGTGTGTGTGTGTGTGTGTGTGTGTG